TCGTGCCATGGGTGACTAACCTTGCTTCATGCATATTAACACACAATGCTTTAAATTATTTTATATAATTCATTTGATTTATGAAATGTAATTAATTAATTAGCTTGTATAATTATTAATCATACAACAAATATGTGGCTGCACGAAAGAACTAGACTGACCTACTGACAACACTGACCCAATATATGCAAAATGATTACCTTTGCTAAATTTCTATACATTCTTTCTTATAAATGACGTAATTATATGAAAAACATATTTTTTGATGCTTTGTGTACAAAAAATTGATAAGAAGAGAAAATTGGTCGAACGGATCCTTTGTGCAACAGATGGATTGTCGATCATTTCGACGCTTTCAATATTCAAATAGATTTATCTCTCTTCTTGGAATTCTCTCAAGATTTCCGATAGTCGAGTGCGTTACGTGTCAATGCGACTTTGCGTTTCTACACGCTTCTAAACCTACTTTCGGCAAAGGTCACAGTTTTTACATACAGTAAATAATAGGTTGATGCATAATTTTCGGGGATTTTTAAACGATATTATCAGCCGTTCTTAAACACTGGTTATTATTGTGAAGAGGGAGCATAAAAAATCAATAGTGGCTATTCTAAATGATTAATCCGGAGTGTGGTCACCATCTACTGCAATACCTTTCCAGACTTCTTGAGACGGCGAACGATGGTTGAAGTTGTCGGCCAGCATTCAAGTTGTCAAGCATTCGTCCCCTCCTACGGCTGCAAAAAGCGTGTGATCGTCGAAATCCGATGGTCGACCTCTTTCCTGGTTTATCATTCAAGTTAGTGTCGCCATGCCTTGTCTCGTGCCCTCATCGAAAACTTCGTTGAGACAACGGAGTGACGGCGCTGCTTTCCATCCTTTCTCAAACTGATGCAGCACAATATGACGAATCTGAGTATGATTATCGACAGGCATTTTCATAACCTAAAAACCGAAGGATATTTCCATTCATAAATTTATAAAATATTGTTAAGATTTATTCAAATACAGTACGTCAAAAAGACGCTTGATAATTATGCATCAACGCAATGTTTATGCAGCAATGAATGTTAGTCAGGGTGGTGCCAGCGAATGTTAGAATCTTGACTTTACCTTATCGTGCTTACCGTGCGCGGCGTCGACGTATGCAGACATCGTTCGTCGATTGGCGTTCGTTTGCCTTTTAACGATAATCAATGATTTTATGTGACATATAATCATCATAACTCGGAACCAGTAGAATTACAATACTCCAACGAATATCATGTTTTTTTTTTATACCCATCACCGAAGCATTACGCGCAAATTCATTTGGTCAAAGCGTATGCAACGCACAAAAGGAAGCATCAGGCGCCCCGCCAAGGTATGTATGTTCTTGATAAGCATCAAACTGTAAATCGATTTAAATATGACAGAAAGATTGGAATTTCTGGCAAGCAGGTTCGTATTTAAAATGAGTATAAAAGATTCGGTCACAACCAAATATAATTTTCTTAAAATGTTTCTTATTTTTCTTTTGATCTCATATATCCACTACTTGGATAGGTTGAAGACATTTTTTTATTGATATATGCATGAGTTTCAAGGTCACATCTGATAAAGCCTGCAAGTTACTCATGCAAATATAATGTTCAGATCCTTTATGAGAATTTGTCAGCTTTTGTTTTATAGATGGGCATAAAAGCTTTTTTCTAAATTTTACCCATCAGATTAAATTGATTCAGTGTCACACAATCGTGAAATGTATTTATAACACCTTTGATCTTAAAAGTAATATAACAAGTAAACTTCCATTCATCAAAGTTATATACGTACCACAGCAGATTTTCAATAATCACGCTAACCATTTAATGACTTGTTTGGTTGCTACTTTTTCTTACTTTTATTTATTTATTTATTTTTTTTGCTCAAATGATTAAAACAAAATGCAATGTCAAGTACAATATTAATTGAAAATATGTTTATATCCGCATATCACTATCTGTAGCATGTCTTAGAGCATTAAACACTGGATTTATTATGTCCGGTATGACACTATTTAAGATAACTGCACTCATCTAAGTTAAATAAATTTGTCAAACCTTAAGGTGCGATTTCAACATATAAAAAACTACAAGGTTATCCTGTCCAGTCCCCATTCCCAATAAGAAAGATTACTACAATTCCATATAGATGCTTGGCGCTATGTTGAAGATAATCGTTTTATGTAGACTAAATAACTCGTAACAGTAACGTATTTATGATGATCTAAGGCCAATATTTACCTAAGGTAAAATTTACTTTTCATCAAAAGTTTGAATCTCTTTGATTGCAATTTTAATCCGCCCCGCTGGATAGTTAATAGTGCAAGAGTTAATGAAACCATTTTTTAATGATTAGAGTGTACGGTACGGGAAACCCTATATTGCCTATATGTCGCTAATTGTTATGTTTATAGTCAGTTATTAAGACGAGTGGGTGTTTCCATTAATTTATATATAATATTGTTTTTGCACATGATTTTGTTGCGGCATATACTAATACATTCAATTGGTACATATATATGTATATGGTTTTTTTTTAAAATTTATGTATACGTTTTATAGGAATTTTAAATTGTAACTCAATGCCTTTTGGCTATACAACAATTTTTATTCCTTCACAAAGATAAATGCTATGATATATGAATAATGCATAGATTGTCCCAATTTCCTCTTATAGCAGCAAAAGCACTTTTTTGATTCTCTATCCTTTTTTTCCTTTTTAATTACAGTAAGAGGAATTCAATTATTTACTAACTTAATCCTTTAGCGAGTAGAACAACTTTCATGACCATGTGCCATAAAGCCATTTTTTTTGTCTTTGTAAAGAATCAAAGAAAAACAAAACATCACAGACAAGTGGTATTTAAATTGTATCGAACTTGCATTTGAGATATGCATTAGTTATATTACACGCATTGGCCAAACCTAATGGTCTTTCATCTGAAAGGCATGTTTTCGTTTGAAAGTGCACGTGACACACTCACAATATCTATATAAGTGAGACTAACAGTCTATAATAGCAGATATTCTCTTTAAACAATTACAATTGAACATTGCATTCCAAAGCTCTTGTTGAGACACTCTGCGGTTGCTATGTGTCATAGATTCACTCCGAGTTGCACTAATCTCTCTTATTTATTTATATTTTCGTTTTTCTTTCAACAAGCATACCTTTGCAAATGGAAGAAAATATATTTCAACAGAGATATGTGAGAGTATTGTGCAAGCTCTTGAAATACGAAATCTGATAAGAATAAGTTACATTCCGCACGATCCCATCGATTAACTCATATATGAAACGGTATGTTGGAGCGAAGATTTATTTGCTCGACGTACCTGTGTTATCCAAGACATTATTATTATTAATCGCGTGGGAGATCCGTGCCCCTTAGCCCACCACTTCTAGGATTATTATGAATCCCTTCGTCTACTTTGGCTCACAGCGTCATATCGTGTCCAGCGTTATGAAATGCTCGCCAAACACATGGCGTCCGATTATGCAGATGTCCTCATATCGAAGGTAAACCGCAAACTTATTCTGTATACATACTTTGTCATCATCTTTAGTAGTATGTAAAAAATTTGGTGTTTGCTTTTCGAACTTAGCTTGATGAGAGTTATAAGAAAAAGATATATGATAAAACGATTTTCCCTGTACAGTTTCAAGGTCGCAATTATAATTTAGATCCGTATATTTGCCTTAATGTGAGCTAAGCTTAAGATTAGACAGAATTAAGATTAAATCTAATTAAGTAAAAACACTATGTTTGAGTAGACCTATTCCTTGGCACTTTATACATATATAATATCGGAAATTATATCTTGTTCTCATGTAAAAGCTTATCTCCCATGAAAATTTTGACAAGAAATCGGGTCAACTACAGACGTGAACAGACCTAGTCCGCATTTATTAAAGCAAACTTTTTTGCCAAACAACTTTTACTTTTCTTTATAAAATACTAAAAATTATATCTTATTGTCTCAGGAAGGTTTGCTTTTTCTGATCAACCCATATAATAGACTTATATGATTCAAACACGGTATCGTGCATTTATATGGCAAATCACTAGTCTGGACCAATTTTTATCATAAAATAGTATAAATTGTACGTTGCTTACTTTTCGTTGGGAATTTTTCTAAAACTGTTCACATGTACACCAAAATACCGACAAAAAGACTGTTCGTAAAAATGATCGGTCGATGATTCGACGTGTCAGCATTGATGCAACACACTTCATCGCTCTTTTTTTTAAATGACAGCTTGTAGGTTGAATTCAAACATAAATAGACAGACGTCAAATCAAGCAGATAGACTTGAATCGATATATAATATGTGCGTATACTTCAGATGCGGTTTAGGTTATAAAAACTGGTATAGATTAAAAATTCTGCTCCCTAACTCGGCCGTACCAGTTGTTCGCGATTTTAATGCAGTTGCAATTACTGGGAACAAGGAGGAAAGATTCACATGCAATAGATCGGCTAGAATCGATGGAAACTCTCTACGACCTTGAATCTACAATGAATATATACGATCATAACGTGCTCTCTATAAATTTTATATGAATCGTATAATCGATTGGGCTCCGTTCTCAATAAACAAAATGTAATGCAAAACAGTCAGAATATTCACTTTTCATTCATAGCTAATTTTTGGGAGAACCTCACAAGCTTCTATGTGGAGTACAAACTTTTTTTTTATTACTTATAATTAGTAGCTTGTATTAACCTGATTTGGTGGAAATTTTGATGACAAAATTTATATAATTCTTAAGTCTTCCTTAAGTATCTATGGTTCAATATTAGAATATAATTAGTGAAAAGAAACAAATGCTACGACAAATTAAAAAAAAAAAAACAAAAGCCATAGAAAATCTATACAAAAGAAATGTTCCATTACATTCCAGATTAGATTCATATTTCCATGTCAAAAAGTAATAAAACATGTTATAACTTTTATAAAAAGGGGATTACTTCTAGTGTTGATCTAAATATTTTAGATTTTATTTAAACTCATTGATAAACCTTTTTACAAACGTGAATTAAAATTAATATTTAAGATATAACTGAAACTTAGAGCTAAGATAAATCCATTTTAAAAATAGAATGCATTAAGTATTTCCACGAAGGACAAAATATGATATTTTCTAAAATAATTCATCAAATTGAAATTATTGGCACTAGAAAAATCGAATGGATGGGTGCAATAACAATTCTAAGTATAAAAACTTTTTTTTTAATAGCTGTATGACAAGGTCCGTGTATAACTTCGTAAATAACTTGTTACTTCTTCTAGCAATTATTATAATGACATCAATGTCTTGAATAAAATATAAATAAATTTTATTTTAAAATAATTACAAAAAAAAAAAAAAAAAAAAACAGCTCAGTCTGAAATATGCCATCCCTCTGTCATTTCAATCTTAATCATATTCATGACTGGACTCTCGTTTAGTTATTAAATTTTCTTTTTCCTCATCGTTACCTTCAATAACTTTAGTTGAGGGTAAGGCATTACGATTTTGGGCCTTAGTACGATGTATACCCTGTGTAAGGCCGGATACCGTTAACACTTCCACTTCATCATCATCATCATCATCGTCATTGTCGTTATCTACATTAAAGTAGGGATGTGAAGAAGTAGGCCGAAATTTATAGCCAGTTAGCACAAAGAATACATAAGTGGCCATTTCGCGAAACATTTCATCCAACCAGGCGTATTGAAAGGCCATGGTCATCTTGAGCAGGTATACAATAATCCGTGTGAAATAGATATAACAAACAATCATGATATAAAACTGACGAAACAATTTCAATTTGCGTAAGTTTATGGCAGCTTTGCCATCAGTGGCCGAGGCTTCGTGCAAATGACGTATAGACCAAACAATTGGAAATAGTATAGCGCCACAGCATAACAGATCCACAAATATAAATATATTATGCCAGGTACGGAATTCTGCATCACTTTCTTCAGACTCTTCGATAATAATTTCGGCGACATTTGCCAAAACCTAAAATAAAAACAATAGTCAACGTTTTCTATTATGCAATAAATAAAATATCAAGATAATAATAGTTTTACCTGCAGTGGTATAACAAACATAAAGATTTTTTTATCCTTATCTGACAAAATATGCTTTATAAATGTCCAACCGGTACCAATCAAAACAATTGTTATAAACAGGACGGCCCCTTTTAATCTGAAAGAAAACGGGATACATAATCGCAATGTCATACTCCTAAGGTCTT